ATATATATTAATTAAAATATACTAAAAATAAACAAATCTAGCAGACGAAATTCTAGAATAAATCTGAAAAGTTGACGATATAAGGATGGTCCAAAAGTCAGTTAACGGATAGAATTGACAAGCTTAACATTTCGGTTAACTAACTTTCGGGCCACCCAATACAGTCGACCCCCCTAAAACACTGTTGATTATTCCGTTTTATATGACTTCCATGTTGTACGAGTCACTTAGATTTTACAAATACATGTGCTGGGCTGTGAACGGCTCACGTATTTGTAAAATCTAAGTGACTCGTACAACGTGCAATTCATATAAAACGGAATAATCAACAGTGTTATAGGGGGTCGACTGTATAACTTATATAAAGTTAATCATTAGTTTTAGGCTTGTAAATATTTATATGATGTTTATTTTTCATAAATAAAAGTTTACTTTTCTACTGTTTAGTCATATATTTGCTCAGGTTTCATTTGTTTGAATAATTTATAATTTTACTCCTTTCGGTAATTTTTTGCATAAATGTTATGGTATATTTGTATATAAAATGCTGTATTTTTTTTTATTTTTTAATATAAAAAATTTTATAATTATCTTCTCATACTGTAAATGAACTTTTTCATGTGTTTTAAGAATGATTCAGGGTATTTTTCGGCTTATATGAGTCAACTATTTAAATTCAAAAATATTTAAAATGTATTATTTGTAAGCGCTAATAAATCATTAAATTTGCAGTTTTGCAGATGGTCACTTTATAAATGAGAAAAAGTATTTGTAAATTCACGGGGCCTCGAAAACTGCACGTTATCCTGTGGATTACAAGGGCATTTGCCTGGGTTCCTACCAGAAGGGTCTTTATAAAGAATTTATTGCCTGAAATCAACACTGTAAATGGGGCCCTCTAATTCAAATTTTCCTGGGACCCGTTAAGCATAACGCCCCACTAAAAGTCATCATTTATCCAATAAATGAGAAGAATTATACATAAATTTGTAAATTAATTCCAATTTTATGTGTATGACTTTATATGTAGGGGTTGAGAAAGGTGAATTGGGGATCCCCACCCCTTTGCAAATGCTATAAATATAGATTTTTTACCGCTTATATATCGCTTTGATATTACTTTTTTTTATCGGCCGTTCAAAGGGGATTGAGAAAAACACATTATTATACACGAGGGGCATTGTTTAGGTGGGCCTTTTTTTTCTATTGATATTAGTAGCATACGAATTTGTTCAAGCAAACTATGAGAATAAACTATCAGAAAATATATTTCACTTAATTTTTCACTCATTTATTTAATGTTAGAGTGTATATGAACTATTTTATACGTATTTAATGGGAGGCAGTTTGCCAAAAGTGCATCATTGTACACACAGCGAGGGAGGGAGGTCAAAAGTGACTCAAAAACTGTACACACAATTCAATTAACGTGCCCTTTTTATATAAAAGATTAATCTTGGGGACACGGAGGGTCCTAAAGTATAGTTTTTGGTGTAAAAGATATGATTTAAAAGTGGTATTATATTTTAAAAAAATTTATTATTAAACAGCAATTAGCGCCTCTCTGAGGACTGCTCGCACCTATAGCAGGGTCCTCTTCTGAAGGGCCCCGCCTGCTTTCGCTTAGAAGGGCTTTATTGGGGTGTACGTACATATCTGCCAGTTATTTCTTACATAAAACCTGAGATAAAGTAAAACTTACATGGCTAAACGTGGCCTGATTTTATTGATTTCATAAGTAAAATTAAAGTAGAATTTATTTTTTTAACTCAGTTAGACAATATTTAAGTTCCATTTTAGATTTTATTCCACTTTTTACCCTAATTTCTTCCTGCCCAAGTGACACAACTTTGATTTCGTAAGGAACAAAATTCTGCTGACGCGACGTCGCAGCGCGTCGCGCAGAAAATAATTTCGTTTCAAATTAACTGCGGAATGTAAAAAAAAAAAAATGAGGAATCGAATAAATATGTATAAATAAGGAGATTTAAAATATTTTTACTGTTTCTTGTAACTTAAATAAAAAAATAATAACTTTTAAAAGTTATAGGCTACATATTTTACCGCGCGCGTCGTCGCGAAGGTGAGATAGCGATCGGTGCGCGGCGCGCGACACTCACCTTCGTCTGATGAAAAGCGTAGAGAACAATTTAAATAGCAATAAAGTAGTAAGTATGTCTTTTAAATTAAGGAAATAAATATTAAATTCTGAGATAAATGCTTTTTTTTACGAGCAAGCAGAGATTTATACACATTCACAGATGGATACAAATCAGACACATGTTGAGGTATACCTATGCACATTTTCTCGCCATAACAGTAATAATATTGCAGGCCCAACCTTGATCCTAAAATACAGATTTCCAGTTTACACCTCAATCTTTCAAGCTGAAAAGGGGACAATATATCAAGCAGTAGCCTGCTCATGCAAGTTATAGGATAAGGGAAAGCAAGTGAATATATACATAGTAATTCAGATCTGTTCTTATGGCAGTTCTTAATAGTAAAATAAAGAATGAACAGATTAAAGAAGTTCAATCTCTTCTATCTATTCATGCAGATAGAATAAAACTTATGTAACTGGTATAGAATCATTCAAATCAGCAGATTCATTTCTCTGTATAATGAATCTGCTGATTTGAAAGCAAAAGAAAGCAGTTGGAGGTAACCTGTTTACTTGCCTCTAGACACTATCTGAAGTAAATGTTGACAGAATACTTTACTCAGCTTTGGAAAGAAAGTCAAAAAGGACACACAACTATAGATGTCACTCTTTCAGAGTTCTCCTGTCAATCATTACAGTTTTAAGTTAGCAAAATTACTGGCAGGTCAAGGCAATTTTAATGCTTATCTGGCAGCATTTAACTTGGCAGAAACTTTCTTTTGCTCCTGTGACTCAGGTAAACAAGAAACAGTAACACATCTTGTTTATTAATATCCTAGATTCATGTTAAGAATGGAATTACAGTCTCTTGGGCTTGAGTGATAAAGTCCATTCTTCATCCTAATTCAAAAGCCATACTATTTATTATTATCTTTTTTATATTTTATACTTTGTCTTACGCTATATTGTGTTGTAAGTATATGCAGTGTTACACTTTTATAGAGTGGAACACTTAATAAAGTTGTTCTGATCCGTTCTAAGATAAATGGTGTTATTTTTCGCCTGGGCAACGGCTCTATATAGGCCCTATAAATGAAACCTCGA